ACCGAGATGACAGTGTGCTAATAACTGAGAGATCTTTTTAGTAAGACAAGTTCCCTTGAAGGTGCCAGAAGAGTAGCTAACATGAGTATGAAAGTCGTAAACTGTGAATCTACAATGGCTAGAACCATCTATGCTTCAGAGCGCTTCTGATATTAAAAAAATAAATTTAAATAAAACTTGAAAGCTAAAATGAGCTAAAGAAAATATACTCTATTTTTTTTTAAATAATAAATTTTATTTTTATATTCCCCATACATTTGCAACCCCCCCATTCTGACCCAATCCCTCCCCTCCCGCCCCCCACTCCCCAAAAACTGTCTCTGGTTCATAGTTTTTTGTTGATTTTGATTTTCACTTTCTTATAGTTATTCATTTTCCTGGTCCCTTATTTAAGTTTGTCTAGATTCCTGCTATGAGTGAGACCATCCGGTATTTTTCTTTTTCTTTCTGGCTTATTTCGCTGAGCATGATCCCTTCCAGCGCCATCCATGTTGCTGCAAATGGCATGTGTTTATCTTTTTTGAATGCTGAGTAATATTCCATGGTGTATATGTACCACATCTTCCAAAGAAATACCTTTTTTAAAAAAAATTATGCTAAGAATATAAAAATAAGAGCTACCCTCAACATAAGATTTTAAGAACACAGGACAGCACTGTTACCTACAGCCAGAATGTTCTGCGGCAAGTCTGTAGCACAGGGTTATCAGGTGTCACAGATGCGACCCTTGCTCGAGTGTGGGCGTCCTGCTTCTGAGAGGTGCCACATCCATGGACCAGCCACACCCTCCTTCTTCTCAGATCAAAGTTAAGAAAATAGAAGGATCACACAGTGAGGAGAAGCATTGGTATCGATTGGACAATGCCTTTTTTTATAAGCTCTTTTGACCATTCTTAGGACATTTTCCAATTATCATTTCTTCCTCCTTAGACTTAGAAGTAAACAGCGTCATCTTCCATTGCACGAGGATGCAGGGAGCCATCGTCCAGGTGTTCACGACCTGACGGAAGTAGATGTTTGTGGAAATCAGTGAAGGGGAGGTGTGTTCAGCTGTAAATGTGTCATGAGAGGGAAGAAGTGGGCTTGGTGGGGGGTGGTGCCAGGAGACATCAGGATTCCTGAGGAGCAAACAGCTACTGTCTTCTGAGTCCTTACTATGTGTGAAGAGGAATGAAAAGTTGATTTATTTTGTTTTCACCAACATCCTTTTGAATGTTATCTTCATATGAAATATGTTATAAATCTATGTTTGGCTAAAGGAAACAGGAAGAAAGAAGCTGTTTGTTCCCTTTCAGTCCTATATTAGAGCCTGATTTTATATAAGAATTTTGAAAAGGGCTGTCTGAAGCCCACCCTTCGGCAGATGGAGCTCTGGAAACTCAGTTTTCATTGACTTCAGTCTGAGGCGGCATCACCAAGAAGCACTTCTGAGGGTTGTGACACTTCCCTGAGCCCAAGTCTCACCCCACACAGCCCACATTTTGGATCCTTCTTGCTAGATCCTTTTTCTTAATTGTTCAGACCCGCCTTTGTTTCTGTCACTGAGCAGACCATCTTGGGTCTGTAGCCTTCGCTGTACCTGGAAAACATCAAAGCAGACCATTTAGACATAATCACTGGTACTTCAGTTCATCACACAAAATGTAACCTAAGTCGAAGTTTAATGTCTCCACTTCATTTCTGTGAACCGGAAACTCCAACTACAAATTATATCCCACCACGTACAGTGAATAGCAGAACTCTTGGTGTCAGTAATTCTTGAAAATTTTGTCTCTGAAGGTAAATCCTTTGGAAGACTAAGTATCTTAGTGATCTTGCTACTCCTTCAAGACAGAAAGGGCAGACTCAAAGAGTCACATCTTCCAGTGTCTCTGCCTTATGAACAAATCTCTTAATCTGAGGTCTAATATATGAATTTCAAAGGTAAATAATACTGAACAAGGAACTGGAAGTCAAGTGCCTAATTCTGCTGTTGGTGACAGAGTTTCAATGGGAATTATTAAAAAGTTACCAAGACATGCACATGTACACACACACACACACTTTGATTGGTGCCCAAATTACTTAGTAGCAGTAGTACTATTAAGTAGCACCCATGGCTCAATCAGAATTTTGTTAAAACATGCCAAATTCAGTGCCCAAGAGGCCTACAAGGTCCAATTTTCATGCTTTGCAATTCTCAGAGGACACGGTATATGAGTGAGTTTCAATTGCATTGCCTAAAAGAGAACTGGACACATTCTTTGTTACTCCTCCAGTTTGGAATTAAAGTCAGGGTGATTATAAACTCACAATGTTGCTAGATGTCTCCACAGCAACACACAAGAGTTAGCTGATGCTTGGGAATACACCAGTTTATTCCTAGATACTTTAACCTTTGATACTATTGCAAATGTGGTTGTTTTCTTTATTTCTTTTTCTGATAGTGATTGTATACAAACACCACTGATTTTTGTGCATTGATTTTGTACCAGCAATTTTACTGAAATTATTTCTTATTCTATCTGTATTTTTTTTGGTAGTTGTCCTCTTCCACTAAATTCATCTGTCTACTCTTCCATTTTGAAGGAATCCTGTGGTTATACTGGGCCTGTCTGGATATACCAGGATAATATCCCTATTTAAATTTTAGCTCATTAGCCATCTTAATCCTACGTGCATTCTTTTATTTTAGTGAGGCTCAACTATTCTTGGGGTTAAGATGTGAATATCTTGGGGATTATCTGCCTATCACGCCCCTCTCTTGTTTAGTTTCTCTATGTTTTCAATCATTCTGAAATCTCTAAACTCTGAATGTCAAGATTTTTAGAAAGTTATTTGATAGTAAAATATGATCTGACCTGAACTCATTTTGTGATAAAGTTTGATCTGCATTGATGTGAGGCCTTGCATAGTTTATACGGATTACACTTAGTGGGAATATTTACACTTTTTCCTAAAGGTGTTTGGATTCTCTCCCTGGGTGAGATGGGTAACATGCAACACATGCATTGTATTATCTTTCTAAAATCTAAGAAATTTTACATTCTAAAACCTATCTAGTCCCAATAAAGTAAAATAAGAAAATGTGGTCATAGATCATCATCACCATCACCATTAGTTGTCTGTATTTATTTTTCTTTTAATTATAATTTTGGGTTATATTTTTACTCTTTCATATGTGCACTTGTTCCAATAACCCTCCACCAAACTTCCTATGCCAATGCCTCATTTACTTTCTTTTCCCTTCCCCTCCTCTTTCCCATTTCCTCTGATAACCAGTAAAATTTTCACTACGTCTAAGATTTATTTTGCCAGTGTACGTTTTTTGTTTGTACTCCACAGATAAGTGAAACCATTTAGTATCTTTCACTTTCTGATTTTTTTCATTTAACATAATCACCTGGAAGTCCACCCAAAAAGCACGGTTTCATCTTTTTAACAGCTGTGTAGTATTCCATCGAGTATATATCCCATATTTTCTTTATCCAGTCATCTGTGGTTGGACACTTAGTTTGGTTCAATGACTTGGCAATTGTGGACAGTGCTGCTCTGAACACAGGTATGCATACATCTTTTCTCATTAGACCTTTCATATTCTTTGAGTAACTATCTAGCAGAGGTATTGCTGGATCATTTCAGATTTCCTTCAGAAGGAGAGAGAAAAATAAATCTCCTCCTGAATACAATTATGCTTAGTTTAGGTGTCTTAATTATCTGTCTGGATAGGCTTACAATACCGGCTTAATGGAACACTGCAGAGATGTTTGTATATGCAAAACCAGTCATTTCCTTGCAATGTTTCTGTTCTACAGTGTGCATGGGTCTTAACAATCATTTTAATCTAACATTTGACTTGATGTCATACACACAAAGAGTATGAAATCATAGTGCATGAATTCAGTCCTTTCCATTTCCTTTGGCCTCCGTGAAGAAATAACTGTTCAGGAAATAAAGTCAATTTTAAATATAAAAAACGAATATTAAGTAGAATTTGGTAACTTCTTCTTACATAAAATTATTGCCTTCCATTTGATAGATTCAAGCAACACTTAAGATTCAACCAACTAACCTTATGGGTTAGGCGCTTTTCTAGAGACTGGGACTAAAAAGGAGAATGATATCTCCAAATTTGGGGTGTTTTATGGGGTCTTTTTGACACACCATGGTAAAGGAAACAATAAAGAAGTACACAAAGAAAATAGAGAAGCATTTATTGGGTTGCCATAGCTTTTTTGTTCATCTAGTCAAACTAGCTTGTGCCCAAGGCAGTGATGTGAGCAAGAAGGCAGAAAGCTCCAGAATCTTGCCATTGTTGTCCTTATATATCAGGGTTCACAAGATCAGGCTGTGTAGTTTCCATGTCACATCCAACTCTGATAAAGTCACGGGGAGTGAAGTCAATGGACAGCCTTAAGAGCTAAGACAATAGCTACCAAATGGGAGCTGCGGGGGGTCACACCGGTGTATATAAAACATAGGTCCAACATTGCTGAAAAGCCAGGAGTTATAGAGAAGGATTGCAAGCAGCATCTGGTACACACCATCTATTTAAATAACAGTCATAGGGTAACTGTGGCTGGAGGTCTGCTGTGCTGAGATCGAGGTCCCTGTTGCCTGCTGCACATCTGGGCATCACAGAGTTGTCATTCAGCCCATTGCCTGGATACCAAGAACTTTTATTATATATCATGTTTGTACCTAACTTGCTGTTGATTATTCTTTAAGGACTATGTTCTGCCTCCTTATTTTCCCGCGGTGTTTCTTCTTAATACCAGTGTTCCCAATTGCTGAGCATTGCCTTCCACTCCCTGCAACTTCATCAGAATTGGATGTGACATGGGAACTACTCAGCCTGATCTTGTAAATCCCTGATATATAATGACAACAATGGCAAGAATCTGTGCCATCCTGTTATAGTTAATTGTGTAGGTCTGATTGAGGTCAGATATATGACAGCTAATAGTTACCAAAAAGTTTCAGTTATATTCTTTTATGCTTATCCACACTTTACAGTGAGGCTAGTCCCTTTCAGAAAGCACAAATCTTCTTTTCAGTTTCCTCATGGCTGACTTCATCTCTTGGTTCCGCAGGGTGTAGATAATGGGGTTCAGGACAGGGATGATGATAGTAAAGGTGATGGACACAGCTCTGTCCATGGGGAGGGCAGTGAAGGGCCGGGCATACACGTAGATGCAGGGCACAAAGTGCAGGGTGACCACTGTGATGTGAGCGGTGCAGGTGGAGATGGCTTTCCTCTTGCCCTCCCCGGTGTGAGATCTCAGCATCAGCAAGATGACCGTGTAGGACACAAGAAGGAGGACAAACCACAGGGTAGTGATCAGGCCATTGTTGGAAATCATGAGCAGCTCGATAACAAAGGTGTCGGTGCAGGCGAGTTTGAGGACCTGGGGGACGTCACAGTAGAAGCCGTCAACCACGTTGGGTCCACAGAAGGGAAGCGGAAGCAACAGGGAAATCTGTACAATGGAATGGACAAAGCCCCCCACCCAGGAGGCCACAATGAGGGCCGAGCAGCGCCCCCTACTCATGATGGTGACGTAGTGCAGGGGCTTGGAGATGGCCATGTAGCGGTCCAGGGCCATGACAGAGAGAGAAAAAATGTCTGCTCCACCGAGGAGGTGGAAGAAGAAGATTTGGGTCATGCAGCCCTGGAAGGAGATGGTCTTCCTCCGGGACAGCAGGTCCACGAGGACCTTGGGGGCAGTGATGGAGGAGAAGCAGATGTCCAGGACAGAGAGATTGCGGAGCAGGAAGTACATGGGGGTGTGCAGGCGAGCCTCGTAGGTCACGGTGACCATGATGGCAACATTTGCTAAGACAGTTGTTACATAAACTATAGATAAAAAGAAAAATAAGAGGAAGCTTAGCTCTTGAGACTGGGTGACTCCACAAAAAATAAATTCAGACACTCTGGTATGATTTTGGGGCTCATGAGATGATATTTCTTCTTCCATGTTGGAAGAAGCTTTGAAGGAAATAATGATATTATGAGCAATGAAATCAACATACACACTTATGGCTTCTTTTGGGGTTATCAATCTTATTCTTCATGAACTTGCAGGTTACCCAAGGAAATCATTCAGTTCTATTGCTCGGCTCCCTCATTCGTAGAAGTCATGGTTTCGACTAGATTGTTTCTTTCCTACTGTACACAATCATGGTCTTTAGGTTCTATTGAGGCCCACCCTTACACGTCGCTGAGGAAGACTTCTTGGAAGGAGTCGCGAGTTCCTTATACTTTCATGAATCAGAGAGGCAGGTTTTATTCACATTTCATTGTGTTTCCATGGCTGAAAGACCAGTGAATACATCAAGTTTCAAATGCCTTTCAGCAACAGTATGACAGGGATCAATTTACACAGTGTATTATAGTTTTAAAAATTACAATACATTTTCCTACCATCCCTCTGATATTAGGGGGGAAGTTTTTGTCATTCTTACTTCAGTGATACAAAAGCTGACCTCAGTCAGCATATACCAATTTCCAAAGGTCATTCAGAACAACAGTGGCAGAGGGGAGGTGACACAAATTTCTCTTGGTTCTTAGTTTCAGAACTTTTCTACTACATCTTTTGGAATGTATAAATGAATAATTTGTTAAAGAAACTCTTTATAGAATTTTCCTCCATGGTGGGTTTCATCGGCCCCTCATTTTCCTCTCTCCATCACAGCCCAACTTCAGACACTGCCTTCTTTACCTTTCAGAAATGACGAGTCTCTTCGATTTTTTACTTCATGTCATGGATTCTCAGGAGTGGAGTTTAACTGGAAGATGGTGATGGAGACGGTTCTGTGTACAAAAGAGACAGCAAAGGCCTAGGCAGGCATATGTACAGAAGGGGCATAAAGGCAAGTCCCCACTGCGCTGCAGGTGACACAGGTACCTGTGCCTCTCCTACAGAACGTAAGCAGTTTCCAGTGTTTCTTGTGTTTCTGGGTGGGGTACAAACACAAGATGGCTGTCTAGGTTGTCCCCAGCCCTGGAAAACTACAGCTTCTCCGGGCCTCCCCTGGTAGTGCAGCAGTTGAGCGCTGGGCTGCGAGGCTGCCTGAGCCTCTGCAGCGCCGGTTCGATCCCCAGCCGCCGGTGAGGGTCCCACCAAAAAAAAAAAAAAGAAAAAAAAAAAAAGAAAGAAAACTACAGCTTCTCCTACTACAGACCACTGGTTGAGGAGGAAGGGATAAAATCCACTTCAGAGGATTTTTAGTTCATTCTATTTTGTCCTTGTGAATCACGAGGGAGCAACTTTTTGTTGCTTGAGGATCATTTTCAGAAAAATCAAATTCCTGACATGTAGAAGACCACACAGAAAACTCGTGATCAAGTCAGACTTTCAGGCTGCAGAACCTCTCTGTGCCTCAGTTTCCCTATTGTAAAATGTAGGGACTGTGTAGTGTGATGTGGTGGGTGTGAGGGGATGGTGCAAATGTTGGAGGGGAGCATGCCTGGGTGGGAATTCTGCCTCTTTGTCCTTTTATTTATTTATCTTTAATTGAGGTAATATGAGGACACCCCCATCAGGTATCGTCACCCTAGTGCACCCATCACCCATCACCCACAGTCCACCACCCTGGTCTGTTTTGCCCGTCCCCTCCTTATTCTCCCCCGCCCCTGCCCCTGTGAGGTTTCCGTTCCACAGTCAGCTTTCAAGAGTTAGTATTTTACGCGTGTCTTTAGCTGCCCCTTACTTTAGTTTTTCTCCAGATTCCGCACATTAGCGACACCATTCGGTATGACTTGCTCCTAACTGTTTCACTTAGCGTCATCCCAGGAAGGTTGTTTATGAAGACCTTAGCAGAATATAATGCGATTCAGTAGGGACAGCTTCTCTTTGAAGCCACTTGCTTGCTTTGCTTGCGATGACCGTGTGCAAATTAAGCCCATGGGCCAGAGATGGCAGCGCCGGGCCCTGGTTTGGGAATAGGGCTGACTCTGGGTCAGAGTCCAAAGAGCTGCCGGCAACGCACAGATGTGGGGCTGCCTTTGAAAAATCCACAGATACTAAGGATGTGTAGGGTTAAAATTATGTTTTTGAGGGAAGCACTGTGCTGCGATCCCCACCACAAACCCTAAACTGGAACAATATGCTGCCTTTATCCAACTCCATTTTTCCATCCAATACAAGCCGCTTTCTCCTTTGCCATCTGACCCCCTCCCCGTCCCTGTCCATGAAGGCAATCCTTTCTCAGTGCTTAACACCTCCTTTGTTTTCTGCCACTAAAGTGCTTGGCTACTTTATTTATTTTTTGGGCAGTATCTTATACCTGGAGTTCATTTTTCATTTCGTCCTCCCCACGTGTAACCCCCTGTCTCTCACACTGTGACAGCTCGCGGCTCTTACCTAAGTCCTTCAGTGTCGGGCGAGGAATTTACACCATCTGAAGCCAGGGGGCTGGAGCTCAGTCCTTAGGGTTCTGGGGAAGTCCCTGTGTTAGGAGATGAAAGCCTTCTGGAGATTGGTTCTGCTAGACTCAGTGTCTCCTCTTCTGCCTCCACACTGGAAAGGGCAGACGCAGGGAGTCACATCATTATGACTGTCCCCTTGTCCCAAAGTGTCCCTGCAATGCATATGGGTCCGTCAGCCCAACCCGTGAATTAGCAAAGGGAGTTTTATTGCATGTGAGCCTGGAAATAGAATGGACATTGTTCTGACAGCGTTGGGTTCCACTGGGAGTTATTAAAGAGCTTCTGAGCCATTACTGTGCAAACAAATCCATAATCACAAATGCAAATTAAGAAGCCCACATTTCTTTGATTTTTTTGCAACTCATGCAAGGCCCCAGAAGACATAAATCTATCTGTTCTGTGATGCTCTGGGTTTTATGATCCTATTATATGATCATAAATTCTCAATGTGAGAAACATGCTAAAGGGGACAAAGATTCCCAGAGACCAAAGCCTTAGCTATCACAATGTGTGACCCTTCAGAGTCTCAGTACATAAAAGGATAGACAGTATATCTTTAGTATAAAGTTTTCTTGTGGGGGAACAAGTAGGAAAACTATATAAATATGTGTATATAATAAAGCTTCTTAGGAGGACCATCATTTAATACGATTTGAGAAGCGCTGGCCTAGGAGGCTTGGCCCGTGTCTCTGTCTTGCAGGATGTAGGGAAGGTCACAGACATGAATCACCTACTGGGACCTTTTTGGCCAAATATTAATGCATCATAACAATTTGCAAAACATTACTCACTTTTTTTTTTGTTTTATTTTTGCAATTTCCTAAGCTGCTTTACTCCTCTTCGCTAATTTTTGAATGACTCTTGGTGCTGAATGGTGGAATTTGAGGTGGGCAGAGAGAGAGATAGGAGATCTATCATCTTTCTCTAGAGCTACTTGCTCTGAATCCTTGTCTTGGGAGAGAGGAGATTACAGAGCAGCCCAGGGGCTGTTTCCCGTCTTGCTCAGGGTATGTTCCTTTATTCTCTGGGTACACAAAATGGGTCTTGTATGTGTGAATATGCAATATTTTCACACTACAATGACTAGTCTTGAATTGTCTGTGCACACATAGACAGACACTATAGTTTCACTTCTGCTATAAAAGTGCTGGGAATGAAACAGAATGGGGAGATAGAAGGAAGGAGAAAGTTCGGGTAACACTTGTGCAGATACCTCACACTGTACAAATACTTTTAAGATTCATTTTAGTGAGAAAATGCTGGAATGAACCCATGAGTAGGAGGGAAAAGGTGGGGGATAAGGAGCAAACTGGGGACAGGGGTCTATGGTGTTGGATCACGGGGCTTTGGTGGTGGTGTGGTGTAGGAACACACATTCAAAGAAGGACAAATCTTTGCATGATATATAGCATTGTAAATCAATGTTACCTCGATAAAAAAATAATTCAATTAAAAAAAGGAAATAATTGGTCTAGGAAAGATTTTCCATGTATATATCAGACTTAACACAACTTAAATTATCCCTTCTCTTCCATTAACTGGTGAAATATATTGACTATTCTGGACTCAAATAATAAAATGTACATGTGTTTTTATTAATCAACTCAAAAAGGCACTAGGGAGGGCAGGTATGAAATCACTGCAGCCACCTTCTGTGAACACGCTCATTTAGGAATGGAGGTGTATCTGGCAGGTTTGCTGATCCTGTGCCTGATGGGTGCTGGTGTGGGTGTGTGGGGCCGACCTTCACAGATATCGGTCTCTCACGTTTTATTCCCACAACAGCCTTGTGAGTAGACCATGTCATCTCCTTATGCCAGGTGGTAAAGTGCCATAAGATGTGTCAGCATGACAGTCACAGATGATACCAAAACAGCATTTAGATCACTGACTTCACATTTATACCCACACTCCTTCCAGACCCCGCCCAAACGCTCCAGTTGTTGAGTCTCGTCTCCTTTCCTTCTTGTGTTTCCCTCCAGTAGAGCTGAGTGGCTGTGAGATAAGTGGGAAAGACTGTGGAGAGAAGATCTACTTGTCTCTTAACTTTATTCTAGAAGATTGAGTGAACCAAACAAGGTTTCCAGCCTCACCTGACCCCTCACCTCAGCTTATTATCCTCAGAAGGCCCAAGCTTTCTCTGAAGTCTCTTCATGGCCGACTTCATCTCTTGGTTCCTCAGGGAGTAGATCATGGGGTTCAGCATGGGGGTGATGACCGTGTTGTTGATGGACACAGCCGTGTCCATGGGCAGCGTAGTGAAGGGCCGGCAGTAGATGTAGATGCAGGGCATGAAGTGAAGAGTCACCACCAGGATGTGGGAGGTGCACGTGGAGAGGGCTTTCTTTTGGCCCTCGCCAGAATGGGACCTCAGCATCACCAAGATGGCCGTGTATGATGCCAGCAGCAGGAGGAACCAAAGCAGGGTCACCAGCCCGTTGTTGGAGATCATGAGGAGCTCTAGAACGAAGGTGTCGGTGCAGGCCAGCTTAACCACTTGGGGCACGTCGCAGTAGAAGGCATCCAGGATATTAGGCCCACAGAATGGGAGAGGAAGCATCAGAATTATCTGAACAAATGAATGCAGGGCCCCGCCCACCCAGGAAGCTATGATCAAGGACATCCACACCTCTCTCCTCATAATTGACACATAATGTAGGGGTCTGGAGATGGCCAGGTATCTGTCGTAGGCCATCACAGAGAGGAAAAAAATATCTGCACCACCAGCGAAGTGGAAGAAGAAAATCTGGGCCATGCAGCCATTGTAGGAGATGGCTTTCCTCTCAGATAAAAGATCCACCAGGAACTTGGGGACAGTGACTGATGAGAAAACAATGTCCAAGATGGATTTGTTCCGCAGGAGAAAGTACATGGGAGTGTGGAGGTGAGACTCGCAGGTGATGGTCACCACGATGAGGGCGTTGCCCAGCACGGTTGTGACATACACAGCCAGGAAGACCATAAACAAGAAAAACTCCAGCTCCCGGAAGTGAGTGAGTTCCACGAAGACGAACTCCTTGATGTTGGTGTGGTTTCTCTGGCTCATGATGGGCACCACACTCTTCCGGGATGACCTTGGGGAAGATGTCAAGGTTAGAGGATGGTGTCAGGAAGTGTCAGCCTCATTTGTTGTATTTGTTATGATCAGGTGTCCTGATCATCATGACTACTTAGAAAAACGGGGTTAGACTCTTCCCTTTTGGGTCTGGAAATTCTTTACCCTGGTGATTCTTCTTTCATGTTGTACATACTATGGGTTGAAGAACCAGCACATCCTCGGTCCTAACTTAGACTAGAGAGAGCTGGTGGACCATGGTAAGAGGACTGTGATTTATTTTCTGTCCTGTAAGAGTAATTTGTGTGTGTGTGTGTGTGTGTGTATGTGTGTGCAAAGCTTTATACTCCACCCAAGGCTTTCGCCTATAAACATCTCAACTTGATTTTGATTCTTGTGATGTCACTGTGGGATTATAGAATGGTTATAATTATCACCATTTTATGTAGGGGGACTGAAGTTTAGAGCAGTTAATGACTTGGCCACATTTGCAAAGGTAAGTGGCAAATCCATGATTCAAAGAGTTTTCTGACTTGGCAACAAGTGTTTGTTCTCCTTTAAACTTCCCTCTGTACTATCCCCTCCTACTCATTTTGTTATGTGTAAGTGAATTAAAGGACAATCCACATGAAGACACCTTGTAGACTTTAAAGCATTTTACAGCAAAGTATTAACATCTTCATAATGCTCATGTCTTTACATGAATGTGTTTCTCTTTTTTACTTCTGGCTAGTTTATTTTTTAATTTTTATCCCTTGAATACAAAATGTTATTGTTTCCAGTTTTGTTGAGAAGTCATTGACCCTTATCACTGTATAAGTTTAAGGCATACCTCATGTTGGGTCTGCTTATATATGTGGTCATATGGTTACCAAAATAGGTTGTTAACTTCTATTTTATCATATAGATACAATAAAATGGAAGGAAAGAAGAAAAGAAAAATGGGAAAGAATTTCTCCTTGTGACAAGAACTCAGCATTTACTCTTAACATCTTTCAAATACATTACATAGCAGTGTTAACTAGTGATTACACCGTAGTCATTATTTGTCTTAGAACTGGAAGTTTCTAGCTAGCTTTGAATCTCTTTTTCATAAATCTCTTTGTCAATTATTCCCCTATACATTGTAGATGCTCAGTAAATGTTTATGAAATGAGTTTTACTACAAAGAATCACCTAATTTGAAAGTGTCTTGAGAAACCTAATACACGAGAGTTTGGAGTCTCAAGTAACTTTTAGTTCTAAGAGACACACACTTCAAGAATTGTACTGTACACTTTACCTTTCTGGGACTGAAGCTTGAATACCCTAAAAATCATATAATTACATGTGTGCTAAATTAAAGTTGCCTGCGATGGTGTCTTCCACCTACCTTTGTGCTATAAAGGTGAGTGTGCCTGGTTCCCCATCTTCACGGCTCTCCTCTTAAACCAAACACGTGCAGCCTGCACTGCAAGGCTAAGCTGCAAGTCTAATATAATAATCAGCATAGGGAATAGTGTCAGATATTTGTTGGAAATGCAATTTTCAATGGAGAAGCTGGCAGCTGCAGATGCAATGGGAGTTATTAAAAAGTTACTAAGCAACATGTATATATTTGGGGATTTTTCCATTTATCATTCTGTTGTTTTCTAGTTTAATTCCACTGTGGTGTGAGAGCATACTTTGTATGATTAGTGAAGGTGTGTATGATGGCCCAGAATGTGGCCTACCTTCGTGGATTTTCTATGTTCTTAAACTTGAGAACAATGTGTGTTCTGTTATTGGGTGAAATATTTTATAAATATCAACTAGATGTAGTTGATTAATGGTATTATTCACTTCAATTGTATTCTTCCTGATTTTCTGCCTATCGGAACTGCCAATGACTGATGGAGGGGTGTTGAAGATTCCAACTATAATAATGAATTTGTTTATTTCCCCTCGTATCTCTATCAATTTCATACTCTGTTAAGTGCACACACATTAATCTTCAGAGAGTTGACCCCTTTCTTTATTATCATTATTAAGACCATCTCTCTTTTTTGGAAGTTATTTTTGTCATGCAACATTATATTAGTTTTAGGTGATTTGACATTTGTATACAATGCAAAATGATCTCTACAATAAATTTATGTCTCATCTAGTCTTAGCAATTTTTTCGAATACCGTATAATTGCCTATAGACCCCAAACTGTACACTACATCCCTGTAGCTTACTTATTTTATAATTGGGTATTTATACTTCTTGATACTCTTTATCCATTTCACCCAGCCCTCTACTCCCATCCCCTCCACTTTGGTAATCATCAATTTATTCTCTTTATTTAAGAGTTTTGTTTCTGTTATTTGCTTAGTTTTTTAGACTCCAATTATAGATGAATCATATGGCATTTTTGGTTTTCTATTAGACTCATTTCACTTAGCATAATATCCTCAAGGTCCATCCCTGTTGTTGCAAATGGCAATACTTTATTCTTTTTTATGACTTCATAGTATTCCACGGTACATAAATACCACAATTTCTTTATTCATTCATCTATCAGTGGATGCTTAGGTTGTTTCCATTATCTTAGCTACTGTAAATAATGCTACAATGAACATAGGTGTGCAAACGTCTTTTTCAAATAATGTTTTTGTTTTCTTTAGATAAACACCCAAAGTGAAATAGCTGGATCATGGTAGTTCTATTTTATATTTGAGGGACCTTGACACTGTTTTCCAATTTATATTCCTACAAACAGTACATGAAGGTTCATTTGTCTCCAAACTTTGGCCAACACTTGTAATTTCTTTGTTCCTTGGATGATATATATTCACTCTGACATAGTGAGGTGATATCTCATTGTGGTTTTGATTTGCATTTCTCTAAGGATTACTGATGTCGGGCACCTTTTCATGTGCCTCTTAGTCATCTACATAACTTTTTTAAAAAAATGTCTATTCAGAGCCACCTCTCATTTTTAAAAATCATGTATTATTTTATTTTTGTGTCTGAATTTTATCAGTTCTTTATATTTTTTGAATATTAGTCCCTTATCAGATATATGATTCATGAATATCTTCATGAATACTTTTCAAAGATTGCCTATAAAGACCTTGTTTATATCTTTGATGATTTTCCTTGTTCTAAACTCTATTTTTTCTCAAATTAATATATACTCCAGATTTCTTTTGGTTTATTATCTTCATTGCATTACTGTTAATCTATCTTTGTCTCTCCATACATACATACATACATACACACATACATACATACATACAGATATGTGGGTTGCTTTTAGAATACCCATAATTAGGTCTTTAAAAAATCTATTGCAGTTTTTGTCTCTTTCTTAGTTTATTTAGGCAATTTATATAATCAGGTGCTTTAAGAAGATTTTATTGTAAATTAAAACTCACTTTCAGCAAAGTAAGTGATAGTTATAGAACAATTCTGTGTAACCATCACTCAAATGAAGAAATGAAAATATTGCTAGCACTTCAGAAGCCCTGGAGCATTATACCCTGACCACCTTGTCCCTTGACCACTGAAGTTAATCACAATTCAACTTTTATGGTCACCCCTGGCTTTTAAAAATATTTTAACAACTTATGCATCCATAAATAACATAGATAATTTGTCTGATTGAACTTGATTTGCATGAGATCACATTATTGGCATTATTTTGTGTCTGACATCTTTTGCTGAACATTATGCTTGTAAGGCCAATCCATTCTGTTGCTTGTAGCTATGCTTTGTTATACTTATCACTCTGTCATCCCATTGCAGAATATAGCTCCTTTGCTCAGCCACATCTTGACAGACATTTATATTGTTTATTCTTTGGAAGTTTTATGAAGAATGCATTTGTGTGAGTCCAGGTATTTCAAGAAGCAGACACCAAGACAGGATTGAATATGCAAAGGTTTTAGTAAAGGCAATTTCTGTGAGGAGAAGTATGGAGAGAGTAGGGGAAGATTGGGATTGAGGTCAGACCATGATGCAAGCTGGATCCTGAGTGAAGGAGAGAGGGAAGGGAGGTTGGTGGAAGCCCAGCCTTGCCCTAGCTTCTGTGTTGGCAGAAAGGGATGGAAAGAGACTAGTTTAGTGTTCAGGGGACTTTGGATATTAAGATGGTGTTTGCTTCTTGTTCCAACTGCCATTTGCTTGTTGTGCATCTTAGGGCTCCCATGATACTATATTGTTGTATTTGAGGTTCAGTTCCTGTTGCTCAATTAAGATTTTATTGCCTTTCTGGTGGGACTATTGAGGCTTCTGGTTCAGAGGATGTACATAAAGGTTATATTTGAGGTGTGAAGCTGTACTCCCCCAAAACTTGGAGCACTGTAAGCCAATGGTGAGGCAATAAAATTTTAAAAAAGTTTATATGTAGTTGTAGGCACAGTGTGAGTGCACATTTAAAGGGGCATTTAAAGAATGGGGACTCTTGGGAACAGATATGTTGTATGTCATGACTTCATGCTGACACATGCTAAATACAGAAATACATAAAAAAATGAAGATACAAAAGTTCAAATGAAGGTGGTTTTAGAGGTGATGTGGGTTTAGTATTCCATCTGTCTGTCCATCATCTATCTATCTGTCTATCTATCTATCTATCTATCTATCTATCTATCTATCTATCTATCTGTCTATCTACCTACCTATCTATCAATCACCTATCTATCTATCCATCCATCATAGGAGGCTGAAGAGCTCAGATCTAAGACAGAGATCTCTCTTCCCCTGTGGTTTATGACCATCCAGATATGAGGGAAATAGTTAATCTACTTACCTGAATGATGAAATCAATTACAAATGTTTTTCTTGCATGTCCAAGAGACCTACCCGAATGGAAAAGTGAATGTGTTGGGAAGGGTATGGGCCACTACCTTTGAGAGTAGGTTTAGCAGAAATAGCCATGTGGGACAGCTCCATTCTAGGTGCCCTCCCCTCCATGAAGGGGTGATGACTTGCATGTCATATCCATGGATAAATCCCTATGAGAAAATGAAAAATAATACTCTGTACAGGGAAGTAGGGGTTAATCTGTTCAGATGGAGAAATAAGGGTTTTATAGGAGCAATTGATTCAGACAGAGGCGAGCTGGAGGAAAGAGTGTGGTGATCCAGGAGAGGCTGACCATGTAATGGAGGTGGGGAATGAAGAGGTGAGCGACTGGTGTGGCCAAGATCAAAGGCAACACTAAGCAGGCAGTTCAGGTGACTGAGACTAAGAGGAGTCCTGATGTGGTACAAGGACTCCTCATTCTCAAGCTCCTATACAGCTGGAAGAGAAATGGCTGCAAAGGGCAGTGTCCTTCAGTTTTTATTTGGCAGATTATTTAGTGTTAAAGGAGTAGACATCAGTTTCCAGTAATTGACATTGGTTCTACTTAGTGTATTGTTCTGGACCTGCCACATGCTAGTAATAGGGTTAGACGCCTGTTCAGCTTCAGGGCTGTTTGTTGTTGAAGGCGGAAGGCAGAGCAGGGAGCCTGGGATCTGAGTGGCCTGGTTCGGGATGGAGATCTGCCCTCACTTCCTGTGAGGGTTGGCAGGTCTAGCTAATCTTCTGGGACTCAATTCCTCACCTGGGTACAGGGCAGTGCTGTATTACTGTGCTGCAATGAGCGTAACTAAATACCTTGGTTCCCAGGACATACTAAGCACCAGATGACAGGTGGTTGCTCTATTACCTGTGAGAATAGGTCATCCTGGGGACTTCTTTTTCCTAAAGTATCTCTTCTTCCCCCTGACTATCCATGGTGTGGTCAGTAGACAGAGGGCCATGAAGAATGGGGAGAGGAATCTGGCAGGAGGATTCTCCATTTACAAATATGCCCACAGGAGATCTCTCGTGCCTAAACCAGAGGTGGAGGTAGATGCTATGGGTCATTTGAGTCTCTGGGGGTTTGGAGAAGTAGGTTTCCCATCATGAGCTAGTAAGACACTTTCTTCTTCCCTAGTACTTTCCACAGGGCATCTTTGATCTCTTTGTTCCTCAGACTGTAAATGAGGGGGTTCAGCATGGGGATCACCAGTGAGTAGAACACAGACACCACCTTGTCCCTGCTCAGCGAGTAGCTGGAGCTGGGCCGCAAGTACATGAAAAGTGCTGTCCCGAACAGTAGAGTCACCACCATCAGGTGTGAGGCGCATGTGTTGAAGGCCTTCATCCGGCCTTCTGATGAGCGGATCTTCAAGACGGCGGCCACGATGTAACTGTAGGAGATCAGGAGGATGAGGAATGACATCCCTCCAACGGCCACCACCACCAGGAAGTTCACCACCTGACTGAGGAAGATGTCAGAGCAAGAAAGTGCCAGGACAGGTGGGAGGTCACAGAAGAAGTGGTTGATGACATTGGGTCCGCAGAAGTGGAGTCGAAATATGGAGCAGGACTGGGTCAGGGAGCTCAGAAAGCCACCCACGTATGCCCCAAGCACCAGACGTGTACAGAGGCCCGGGGACATGATGGCTGTGTAGAGCAGGGGGCTGGAGATGGCTGCATAGCGGTCATATGCCATGGCCGTTAGGAGGAAGCACTCGGTGAGGCCCATGCCCACAAAGAAAAAGAACTGGGCTGCACAGCCCAGGAAGGAGATGGTCTTTTGCTCCCGGAAGAAGTCAGTGAGCATCTTGGGAGCCACTGAGGAAGAGTAGCAGATGTCAATGAAGGACAAGTTGCTGAGGAAGAAGTACATGGGTGTGTGCAGACGGGGGTCACCTCTGATCAGAAAGATGAGTGCCAGGTTCCAGCCTACAGTCACGAGGTAGATGGCCAGGAAGGTCACAAAGAGGGGGACACGGAGTTCTGGATGGTCTGAAAATCCCAGGAGGATGAACATGGTCACGGTGGAGCTATTCCCGGCCCCGGCTGTGGACATGTTTCTCCTGGATCACAAGGACAAGAGGCAGATTTGGGGTCATCATGGACTCTACATGACAGGTTGGGTCACCAAATAATCACAAAATGCACGAGAGGTAGGACAGGGCACTGCAGAGACTGACTTAATGCTGATTCCTGCTCTCGCTTCCTCGCAGATGGCAATTGTAGAGACTGTCTTCCTGCTTATTGCAAATATTTGCTTGTTGCAAATATCTACTTGTTGCAAATATCCACTTGTTGCAAATATTTGCTTTTTAAAAAAATATTTATTTATTTATACAAGCACTGGGTACAGTCAGAAATGCGGGAGGGTGAGATAATTCACCAGAGCCAGAGCGAGGAACAGAGCAGGCAAACTGATGAAGTACACTGCTGAGGGGAGCAGCGGGCGTGGCAGGAGAGGTCTGTGCACCATGTCAGACCCTCGCTGGTGGCCGGGGCTTGAACTGGTTCTGCAGAAGCTGCGGGAAGATTTGCAGTCCAGTGCTCAGTCGCTGCGCCACCGGGGAGACCCCCAAATATTTTCTTTGAAACAGCATGGGGTGGTTGACATGAGCTTAAACTTGGGATTCAGACTCTTTGCCATCAGCAACTGTCTCCACCATGGAGTGGCTGTGTTCCTCTGGTGAGGTAGCTACCTGTCCTAGGCTTCAATTACTTAATTTTTAAAACAGTGACAGTACCCACTTCACATAGTTAAAGTGATACCTAGAAAGCCCCCAGTGAAAGGTATTATAAGCACCATTTTGTGTGTTCCAGATAAGCCACATCAAACCTGAAATAACTCTTTATTTAACTTTATTAAAATTTTGATACTGGAGTAAAGGAACTAAATTTAATGATATATTGTGAAATAATCACACATTTAGACTGTCTTTGATCCAGAGTATCAAGCCAGATGTGTATAGGGATGCTAGTTGCCAAATAATAGATCTATATCATCAATAATAAATCCAGCATCTATTATCTACTAATACATAATTATCTAATAATAAAACAATAATCCATTAATTATCTGTAAATAACACATTTACACTATTAGTAGGGATAATGTTGCTCCTGGTGGCTTACAGTGAATGATCCTTTAAAGCCTGGAATATATACTAACCTTTCTTCAGGTCTTACCCAAACAGTTGGGAAATCAGCAACATTATCTTTGTCTATTTTCAGTCTATTCTGTCTACCTCTTACATTATAGTGAGTCTCACAAATTCAGTCTATGTTTCAAAAATAGAAATTGTTATTTTATGCATTTTGAAGCAATATGTGAGAACAGTAAAGTAATTTGAGCAATACACAATTGTGAAATATTCAACCTAATAATCAAGTCCAATTCCCAGTCAATGCAAAAAAATCTTGAAACTGACCATCACAACATTGCATCCTAGTAAACATACCTCAGTAGCTGACATTGATCTCAGAAATAATTCCAAGTCTGCAACTTCAGTTTGGGAAGCAACACATTCCCTATTTACTATGAATTTTTAATGTCAAATTTAGAGAGCCACTTCATTTTAATATCCTTAATTTTTCAAATTTTTTATACCTGTTCTCAGCCAAGGTCTCATGGACGTCTAAATTTTCTTCTTGGAACTTGCATAGAGAGATGCCCTTGGAATTCGGGGCCATGCTTCTCCCTTTCAGCAGCTCCTGCTACAGATTCTTCATCACTAAACCCCACAAATTTACATAATGAGAGAATGGGAAGCCTCTTTCACCACTGCCACACCACTTACTTGTGCAGCATCTCAGGGTACCTTACCCCGCTCCCACGCCGGTCATGTGACTTAAGCTTTATCCTATGTAAGAGGTTATGCTGCCATGTGAAAGGTGTGTGGACTTCCCAGAACCAGTGGAGGATTCTTACCCACAGATAAAAGGAAGGAAAGAAAGGACAAAGTTTGGCTTCATCTGCTGCATTGTAGAGTCCCCTGGAGAGGCTGGGAGCCGAAACATACAAGTCTGCTTGCCTCGTTCTGTGTGAGGTCGGCCATTTATTGAAGAAGAGACTGAGGTCTAGTAGAGAGCCTCAGGGTAATTGGGGATTGGGGTAATTGGGGCTCAGGAAAAGGGAAAGGGGGGCTAGATAAAGTGAGTTATGATTCTGGGTAGGCTTCAGGTCAAGCCTGGTTCTGCCTCTTGCCAACTAGGAGGTATTAGACACCTCATTTAGCCTTTGTGAGTTTGAAGTTCTCCTAAAAGGAGGATGGCAGTGACTAGTTAACAGAGCCATCTGAGGATTGCTTAAGATCATGTGTGAAAGCCTCACGGACCTTGAGGTAGGACAGGAATTGGGACTATGATTGCTATAAGCAGTGATTATTCCTTAAAGAATCTTAGAGAATACACTTCCTTCTCTGGTAGGTTGAAGTTGCTTATCTATAGACAGCTACTGCATACTACATCTTAACCATGTACCACAAATTTTGTAAGCAGTGTTTAGGAGTGAGGTTGAGGAATGGAATGCTCTAGAACATTAAATGGAAAGTATCTTAAGGACTGTATGGGGCACTTACATCTACTCTATCTGAACTCTGCTCATGAAGAGGTGCCTCTTCCCTTGAGAAAGGAAACCTTCACTCTTCAGCAAACTCAGGGAGGCTGGGTTTGGTCTGAGTCTGGACTCCTGCACCCCTATGATATAGGTTGGTCAACACTCATCTTATAGAGCTGAAGCCAGAGGATTTGAGAGGCTCAATGGCCTCATTGGATTTATAGATATTTTGTGACTAACTCTAGACTTCAAAGTTATGGTGTAGATAGAATAATAAGGCAAAGTGAAGTACCTAGAAGAGTTCCTTACACACTCAGGAACTAGTGGACTTGATTTATGACTCAGCTCACTTTTCATCAAATATCTGCAAGAAAATGTTAAGTTTTATAACTAAAGTTACCTAGTTTGAGCTTAACAGATGTGGTTGGTGATGGGAGAGAAAACAATGAAATAACGACAAAGAGAATCTCAACTAAATTGGATTTGCTGTGAGTTTTCTATGACCCACCAGCTCTCCTGACCTAGGCTCTGTCCTTCACTCCACGATGCTTAATCCTGTCATCTTTGAAGAAGCCTGGTGTCCACAAATTCTTATTCTTGCATGTCTCTCTTTCATCTGGGTGCACAAATGACTGGGAACTGAAAGAAACCCTCTCAATGCAAGGTGAGAATTCAAGCAGTGTCAAGCCATGAGTCAGAAAAGAGGAGGGTTTTAGAGGTGAAAGGTCCCTGACATGTTTGGAAAATCTGCTGTGGAAAGTCTGTCCTTCCAAAGTACTAATCAGACTACTTACTAGTAACTGAGTCTCTGTTCTAGGGCAGAGCAATCCCTCCAGAAGTTTCACCCTTTTTTAATTCTCTTCCTAGTTGCCAGGGCTCAAACACGGTTCAGGAGGCCCATCAAAGGGACAGTAAGGAAAAAGACTGGAACTGAATTGGGGGAAAAACCAATAGAATTGAGCAGAGAAGAGCCACATAACTCCACAGTCATCTATGAACTTGCGGCTCTAGAGTGTCCAATGAAGTGGACAGTAACATGGGCATGAAGACAAAAAGTGAGCAATGAAGGGCTGCACTCACCTGTCTGTCTGTCCTGGAGCTGTTATCTGTCTTGAATTCTGCTTTGAATGGAATCTAATAGGTCTTGGTATCACATCTAGTCCCCTAGTGCTAATGAGTTTCAAAAGCAAATTGGAGGTTGGTTGGGTCTTCAGAGTTCAGAATATCCACTTGTTGCAAAAAATGTGTGTTTGTGGACACAAAAATTGGAAGGAAATGATACGCAATGAAATCAGGGAGGCTGTAATCTCGACGGAGTTCTTCTGTGTCCACTGATATCTGCTATTGGGCTATTTTGAAAGCATTTCAGAGGTGGGGGTGAATTTGAGGGAGATTCCTCTCTCTCCTTGGAGATGTTTCTTTACCTTGTGGGTCTTTTTTCAAAGGCAAAGGAATGTATTACCCAAACATTACATTAATTGATCTCTGGGGTGGTACGGAGAACACACTCATACAAATGCTCTGAAGACAATGCTTATTAAACTCCATCATAATGCCCAGCACGTCCAATCCCTGAAGGCTAATCACGATCTCTTTGGGTAGAACGTGATGAGCAAAGTCAGCATAGCAGCGGAACACACACGGCAAGGTGAACAGCCATCCAGAGGTCAGAGGGGGTCTCTGTAGCTCATTATAATATAACTAACACAATACAATTAACATAATAGAATAAATGTAATATAGTAAATATAACCTCTATATGGAAATATACAAATATATATATACACACACACTGTTTCTCACTCCTTCACAGAACCTCTTGCATGAAGTATCTGAAATGCATGGGAACAGCATTATTGAGCACCTCCTAGGTGCTAAGCCCTCAAACTGCTTTACATATATTAATTCACTAAATCTTCCAAAACCCTCTTGCAGAAGGGCAAGCAGAAATTTGGAGGAGCTAAACAAGTGCAGAATTTTGCAGCTAGGAAGGGATCAATCTAATATTTGAATCAAGAAGGAGACACTAAGCCCTCCTGTGAGTGTGTTGTCCCTGCATTGATTTGGAACTCAGGCACACGGAACTGTGTGGATATGGTCAATAGCACCTTCAATCCAGAAATTCATTCTCTTCCCGTAGAAATCTATGATATCTTCCTCCAGGAGGGAGATATTAGAAGCCTTTCCCCTAAAGTTGTTCTTGGTGTCATCCAGCATGTGTAGTGTGTGGTTGTGAGCACGAGCCCCACCAAGTCTTTGCGAGGGAGGGACAAGGTCTCTGTCACCAGTACTTCCCCAACCATGGACTCATCACCGAGCTGGGCAAGGCTCTGCCTGAAGACTCTTAGATCTCATTCTTCTGGGAGGTGGGAGGGGGGACTTGAACTCCCAGTGTCAGAGGCTGGACCCACACGTGGGTGGGACTGTGTTCCCTTTCTGAAAAGCCCCTTAGGGGGAAGACTGGTAAGGTCAGTCAACTTGATGGCACCTGATGTAGTTGTGCA